GTAGGCACTGCTTTCAAACTTCAGGACAAGTGTGCATGCACACACACATACACACACTGAAATAAATAATAAGAAGAAAGCAATTTAGGGCTAATGTGTGACTTGCTAGAGTGAAGCACTTGGCTACCAGTAACTCAAAAGCAAGCAGTTGAATTTGGAGGCCTTGTTATTAATTTGCTATGTCAATGTGGTGCTTATCTGTTAGGACTGATTTTATACAGTGTAGTTTCCTTTGTGCAGGAATAAGTCAGTGCAGTGATTTTTCAGGACTAGGGTAAGAACTCTGACACTTGAGCATCTTTTGAGAGCACATTGTTTTCCAGGCAAGAAGACATCCCGGCATCCCTTGCACCAGGATCTGCACTACTTCCCCTTCAGGCCCAGCAATCACTTGTTTGTGCGTGGACCGCGATGGAGCATATTGACCGGAACAACGGTTGTCTGGTTGTGCTCCCAGGCAGCCACAAAGGCTCCCTGAAACCCCATGATTATCCGAAGTGGGAGGTAGGTCTGCCTGGCCATGGGGTCTTGGTCAGAATCCCTTTCTCTGTTTGTATTTCATACCAATATTCGTGAAGAACTGAGGCATGAGACTGAATTTTCTTTCTTAGAAATGCCTTCTCTTGGGATTTGCAGTGCAACTTCTGGAGAGGCTCTGAGAATAACTGATGTTTGGGCCAAGCTTTTAAGAGTAACAATGAGGGTCTATGGAGGTATGAGGGTCAAGGGTGAGCAGCAGCCTCACAGGGGAGCAGGAAAGAAAACGAGCTCAAGGTCCAGAGGTACATTTGGAGGACTAGCAGAGGAAAGCCTGGGAACATAGGGGACTGGATTAGAAACCACTTTATCACTGACTTTTCCTGTTCATATGGGAAACAATGGAGGCTGTGTAGTTGTTATTGATTGCAGTTCTGGTGTTTGAACTCAGAGTCTAGAGCTGGTGAGGCAGTTAATCTACTACTTAAGCTATCACCCCAGCCCTTTTGCTTTCAGTTTCTTTTTCATATAGGATCTTGAACGTTGGCTCTGCCTAGCATTGGATCTCAAACCTCTGCCTCTGCCTTGCAAGTAGTCTTGCAGTCTGGTGCCATTATGCCTGGTCCAAGAACCTTGCTGTTGTTGTTGTTAACAACCTAGAGAGCTCTTGTTTTTAAGTTTTATTTCCATAGAATAACCTGTAGCTATCTTAAATGTGTAATTGACTATCTCACACACATATTATTATAGTGAAGAGAATCTCTTCCATCCCCTGCTGAGGCAACTACTGAACTGCGTTCAGTTCCTATAGATTAGTTTTCATTTCCTAAATGTTATATACATGCAATTATCTAGAATCTATTTTTCTTTGGTGTGGCTTCTTTGGCTTGGGATGGTTATTTTGAGCTTCACTAATGGTGCAGCTGAGTAGTATTCTGTCACATCCTGTACTATGGTTTGTTTGCCACTTTAGCTCTTGATGCTGAGAAACCAATATGTGTTTTTGTGACCACAAATGATGGGACCCAATGGTTCTCGAAGAACAGTAATCTCTCAGTCTGACATAGGATGCTTTGGAGGCCTAGGAGGCCAGAGAACCAGAGAGAGGATTCCTGGGATTTTAGGTATAAAGCCAGAGGATACTGAAATCCTTGGTGCTGTCAGAAGGGAATGAACACTTTGGATAAAGGAGAGCCACTAAGTTGGGGTTCTGTATTTACTAGAAGAATATGGCTCCTGTCTTAGTAAGTTGGAGATCTTGTAGCAATGATTGGAATTCTGAGACAGTATTTGTGGAGATGTGTCTTACTACATTAGCATTCTTGCATGAATGAGTGGAATTAGGTGAAAATGAGTTGAGCATGCATCCTGGTATACAACCTGGACTTGTGAAGCTCATCAGTGAAAGGTTAGGGAAGGGTGGACGTGAGTAAGAGCAGCAAGCTCTGGCTCACTTGAGTCAAAGAACAAGGTTTAGAGGACTTGCGGGGCAGCGTGTCAAGTGAGGCTGCTGGCTGAGGAGCACTGGTGAGAGGTCAGCTTGCTTGGGCAGAACACATCCACCTTGGCTGGGAGAGAAGGGCACAGGTCAGAGCCATGGCCTTTTCCTGTGGGTAAATGGCCATTTCTCCAAAGAAATATGGGATGGTCTCTGCCAACCCTATCTGATTCATAAGATTTAGAACATAACTATGAGTTTCAATTTCTTTAATAAACATATAATATAACAGACTTAGGGAATACTTAAAAGCAAGCTTAATGTCAATTGACCAGAAAGAAATATATTCTTTATCTGACTTATGTAACTCTAATATCTTTGTGTAACACCTTCATCATAATATTAAAAATTTTATTAAAAACAAGTATCTTTATATTTACTATTAGTAACTTGAGATATCCCATAAATGATCCTAAAATCTGAACATTTTCTCCTCTGTTTTAGAAGAAAATAATAGGCTAGTAGAAGAAGAAAAAGAAGAATGATATTTTTATAAAGTTCTGTGGAAGAAAAATGTCACAGGAGGAAAGAATGTTACAGGACCAGACTAGAAATGCCTCAAAGATGTTCACCTGTGTTAACCACCAGCGCCAGGGTGGTCTGGATCAGTTGATAGTTCAGTCATGAAGGATACGTAGGAATTCAGAATTTTTCATTGGGTCCAAAAATAAAATCAATTGTGTCAATATAAACACTTGGCTTTTAAAACACAGCCATTTGAAGCAGGGCGCTGGTAACTCACACCTGTAATCCTAGCTACCAGGAGGCTGAGATCCAAGGATAAGGTTCAAAATCAGCCCTGGAAAGAACGTCCTTGAGACTCCTACCACCAATAAACCACCAGAAAATCAGAAGTGGCGCTGTAGCTCAACGGTAGAATGCTTGCCTTGACCTGAAGAGCACAAGGATCGTGCCCAAGCCCAGAATTAAAGCCGCATGACCGACAAAAACAAAAAAGAAAAGAAAAAACAGAAACTCAGCCCTTTGAGGCTGGTTTTTTGTTTGTCAATTTTCTGGTGATGATCCTGGAGCTGGAATCCACAGCCTCTCTTAACTGGATTACTCAAGAGTAGCACTCTACCACTTGAGGCACAGCTCCACTTCTGGCTTTTTGGTGATGAACTGGAGACAAGAGTCTCATGCAATTTCCTGCTTGGCCTGGCTTTGAATTGTTTTCCTCAGTTTTCAGCCTCCTGAGAAACTAGGATTAGAGGTATGAGCCACATTGCAGGGCCAAAGAGCTTTTGTATGATATAAAATGTAGACTCTTATTGGAATCAAATTCTAATTTAAATTTGGAATGTAATTATAATCTAAATTAGAACCTAATTTGGACATGTCTTTCTCTTGGAAGAATTTAGAGACCCTTGCTTTCTCTGCATCACTGACTAAGTTTTAATCACGGAGGCCTCTCCCATGTAGACATGGCTCCTGTTCTCTTTTCTAGGGAGGAGTTAACAAAATGTACCATGGGATCCAGGACTACGATGAGAACAGTGCCCGCGTGCACCTCGTGATGGAGAAGGGAGACACTGTTTTCTTTCACCCCTTGCTCATCCATAGATCTGGAAGGAACAAAACTCAAGGGTTCCGGAAAGTAGGCATTCCCATCGCTGCTCCCATTGGCAAAGATGGATGTGTTGGAAGCAAAACTCAAGACACAGCCGGGCACTGGCAGCTTATGCCTATGATCCTAGCTACTCCTTGAGCAAAAGAGCTCAGGGACACAGCCCGGGACCTGAGTTCAATCCCCACAACTGGAAAAAAAAATCCAGATGCTGGTGTCTCACGTCTGTAAACTTAGCTTCTCAGGAGGCTGAGATCTGAGGATCAAGGTTTGAAACCAGCCTGGGCAGAAAAGTCTTTGTGTGACACTTCTTTCTGATTAACCATTGAAAATCCAGTGGTGTAGTTGTGGCTGAAATGTTAGTGCACTAGCAAAAGATCTCAGTGAGAGTTCAAACCACATGACTGAGGTTTAAAAAAAATCAAGATGTATTATTCTTTATAGTATTCATTAAACTAGAATCTAGCCTAGTTTATTCACCAGGAAATATTTTTCCTTCCTTCCTTCCTTCCTTCCTTCCTTCCTTCCTTCCTCCCTCCCTCCCTTCTTCCTTCCTTCCTCTTTTTCTTTTTTCTTTTCTATTTTTTTTATTTGGAAAATCTGTAGAGGGGTTACAATTACATGGGCAAGGAAATGAGTACATTTCTTTCCAAGCATTGTTGCCTCCTCCTTTGTTTCCCCTTCCCATCCCTTCCCATCCCCCATCAAAGTTGTAAAGTTCATTTTTCCACATAACGTCTTGTACATCTCATTGTTGCAATGGGTCCCTATTTAGATAATTTG